ACCGAAAGATTTTGGCGTTATGTTGAACATATATTCATTGCAACTAAAAGAGATGACGTAAGCAGCCTCCACGACTATCTCAGTAGTCTAAACCCACACATTAAGTCTAGCATGGAAATAGAGTCCACGTCAGGCACATTACCCTTTCTGGACTGTATAACACATAAGATTGGTGGGAAATTGAAAACGACTATCTACCAAAAACCAACAGACACGGGAACCGTCTTAAGCTATTCATCAGCACATCCAAAGTCCGTGTACGCCAGCATTGTCTCATCGATGTTTCGTCGAGTTAGAGCGCTGTGTACAGAAGAGATCGACCGGACGGCAGCTCAAATAGAAATTGCCAAAAACTTCAAGAAATAGGATACCCAGTGAGTTTGATTAGGCGTCAACTAAGGAAGATTTTGGCTCCGGTATCTAAACCCGGTAAGGAATGGATCAGCACAACAGCCATTCCATATAAAGCAGAAACATCGGAGGTCATTCAAAGACTGCTGAACTTTGCCAACATTAGAGTAGCTTTCCAGAAGAGAAAAACGCTCAGCTTTGGTGAAATTGAAGGATCCCTTGCCGGTTGAAGGGACCAGGGACTGTGTGCGAAAAATTATTCGCAAAGATTGCACTAAGGTTTACATAGGCCAAATTACCGGAGTTGTACACCGGCATTGGTGCGCATGAGAATAAACAAACCACCAAGGAATGCGGAAGAATACCAAACGCTGATCAAAGACTCAGCGATGGCTGTACATGCATCAGACATGGATAATGTGGAAGTTTTAAGACAAGGACTGTGATTCACACCCCAGCGGCTGATAGGCGAGTTGGATGAAATCATCAAACATCAAAGCGTGAAAAGAATCGAAGGTGTGGAAATGGCGAACCTATGGAAAAAGGTCTTACATAAGCCGATTGACACGTGACTGTGTGATTGTCAATCCACGTAGAATCATTAGCAAAAACGGTTGGTTGGTCATCCCAACCCGGCCAACGCTCACAAAATTCCTCTTACACAACTATCGTAGCACTGCGCCTACCTGATGAGCCCCAAGAAGGGCGAAACTGGTCGTGGGCTGTCGATGGATTTTCAGCAACCTTATGAGCAGTACATTACAAATATACATGTATCGCGATATTCCAAATATCGTAGCGACTGAAACATGAGGCGGCCTGGTGCAGCACATTCAGTTGCCTGAGAACATCATGAACGAGAGATTCAGCTGGGTTCCAGGTGAGTCTCTCGAAATAACCAAATTAGTTTGCAGATGAGTGTATATTCGCCAATATCGTAGCACTAGCTCACTCATACAGAAGGACGGAAAGTGCGAACGACGTCCAAGACATATCATCAGCTGAACCAAACCAGAAGAACTAGACCTTAGGCTGGACCCAAATCCCATCGACCTAACACTTGGCTTCGCACCCTAACACACAAAATCCCTCGTTTGACACCTAATGGAGATCTAGCTTATTGGTTCCCCTTCCACCTTAAATCTCGACCAAACTCATACCTTAGTCATTTGGCCCGAGGGAGCTTTTGTGTCGGAAACGAAACAACCAATTGTTTACCAAGCCTTTCTGAAACAATAACTGATATATATATATATATATATATATATATATAATCACTCACGTTTGTTCAGAACGCCCTAGTATTACCCTCGGATGATTTTCTGAAACAAGCCAATGATATCCGTTGTGTATAACACGTCGAAACACGTTTGAAAAGCAAATGGATACAAAAATACTTGAGGTAACCCCGGGTATCCACCGTGTCCGAACGTCGAAATAGTTCGCGGTTCTAAGTTGAACAAATCCAAAATTTAGTTCCCTTGACCGTCCAAAACTACCTCACGAGTGGTCACATCCAAAGCCACAATCCAATTTGAAAAACATCAAACATGTGCTCATTTCAGAAGCCGAATTAGGAATGACATAAATGCCTTGAGTAAATGTCACCATACAAACTCGATTGCAAAATGTCTAGTTTCCGCAATTTTTTCAGACATTCAAACAAAACGATGAAATTTCATCAGTAGAGAGCAAGTTGGGTGACTTTTAGTTTACGAGTTACGATAGCAGGAAATACTAAAAAGTATTGATACTACCAGGAGAAATAAACAGAATTCCTTTTTACGAGTTAATCTATTGAAATAGTTCCCAGGAGCTGAACTAAACAGCTCTCTATAAATAGATCCAAACGTTCCATTCAAGATGGTCAGAAAATATACCACCAGAAGCCCATGTTCGTTTGTGAAATTTGGGAGAACACGACATCTGTCAGTCGTTTAAAAACTCCGTTGCAAAGTGCTAATCTATGACTGATTCCCAAATGCCAATTTTACGTCAACAAAAATATGTACTAAAAAATAATGGCAGCGTTATTCCATATTTTAAAAGGCCAACTACAATCCAGATGGCATCATACCAAAGCAGTACTCTGCACAGTACTCTATCTCACTTTATGTTAGGGACACATGAGGTAGACAGCGGTCATTAGTCAGCTTGACGTGCACGCCAGGGAATAAAGCATTGCTTGTACTTCGTTTAGACTTGCCCCCTTAGATGAAATTCCGGTAGACAACTAAGTAGATGGACAGCAGGATGAATGATTCGGGGTGGCGCTAGACACGACTGAAGCTTAGAAGACGGCGAAGATTTGACCATCAGCAAAAGACTATGGGCGGGCCTTTTGCACTTTAGAGGACATTATGGAGGAGTTTACGGATAAGAATCGGATGATCAGTAGAGGTGGGTAGGTATGTATCAATACGCAACTGGGATATTAACACTGACGTTGAAGAACAACACATTAAGGCAATCGAAAACACTTCGCAGTTTTCCCTGTCTGGTAACTTATCATTAAAGTGCAATTTCTACACACAATGTCTTACACGGTACACTGCTTTCTACCTTTCATCAGCTAATTAACGCTCCAGTTCATCAGCAGTGAACCTCGAGGAAAAGCGTCATGCTACTGCTCCTAACCTCGAACTCTACACTTAATGAAATTTTCTTCGGCCGGTTTCTAGATAACTCCATTTCTTGCAAGACAGAATAAAGATAGCATCAGAATAGTGATAAAAGTTAGGGGGAACTTATAAAAGGTGACTTATTATTCCATTGTTTGAAATCTGGATCTATTTACGAGAAAGTTCTACTTTCATAGAAATGCCTTTGTTAAGTTTCAACGAAGGCTAATAGAAACGATGTTAAGCAAAACGTAAAAAGAAAGCAGTAAGCCAAGAATGAGTGGGATATAACGCGTGGTTTTATAGGAATATGGAATAGTTACTATATTTTCCATTGAACAGTGCAGAAGCAAAAACTTGCGTCGGATGGAACACCCTGAACAAAGTCCATGAGCATCTCGAAACGATATCATTACCAAATCTACTGTAAATTTACTGTTATATTTAAGTGAAAAATGTAAACAACGAAGTTGATGAAAAGGTAGAAGGAAACAAAACTTGCTTTTTTGCAGAGCTTCCTAGTTTATTTTGTAAATTTGTCAAAACGATGCGAAACGCTGAAAGATGAAAACTTCAGACATTTCCGACAGCTGCCCACAAATTTTATCAGCCAAAGTGAGTGGGAAATTCCGCCAACCAGTATCGCAGCTTGTGACTTTGGGACAAACTCACAAAGTGTCAAGGACTGCCGCCTTAGACTTGTTTGCTTAAATGCATTTAATTCAGTGCTGTTAAATACCGAAAGTACAACCGTGCGATCTAACATCACCTATAAAAAGGATTATTAGCCCGAGAGATGGCGTAAAAAAACGCTTCTGAAAAGACCAACCATATTTTCTGAACACTACAGTGGTGAATTTTGTTTCGAAACCAACCGAACTGCGTCTAGAAAACACCATCTTTTTGACGACGAAACGTTTGCCAGTAAATTACAAACAGATTCAAAGCCACCTGATCAATAACCAAATACGCTACTTCCGTTTTGCTACCCAGTATTTGCACAAAATTGTCCAGTTTCACTGTTCCTGTATGCTACTTAATCAACAGTCAGTGAGTTAAGCCAGCGTGACACTAGAAACAGAATTTATGCAAGTGTTTGAAGTTCGATATCCAAATGTAAAATAACTTCGGCGTTAAATCACTTGCGATTCTGACTTCACACAATGTGAGTTATAAGCTGGTCGAGTGTATCCACCCAGTTATTATTTTCACTATCAGTTTTATTGTTTTCATTCTGCCTTGTGTTTATTATCAAGATTATCTATAGCAGGAGACGCAGATTTAGACCGCAAATGTTTTGTAGCTTAAAATCGCGGACTAAGTCAATAAGTAAATAATGTTGTGAATGTCGAAGCCTTTTCGGCAACCTTGCGATTAGCTTCCTCTATTAAAATATACTGCGACATCTCGAATATCGTACCAACTGAAACATAAGGCAGCCTTGGTTCAGCACATTCAGTTGGAGAATATCACAAGCGAGAGATTCCGTTGAGTCTCCCGTGAAAATCAAATTGCTATGCAAATGAGTGTATTTGTCGAAAAATGTTGTTAATTCTTCGGGCGGCTTGGCTATCCAGCCCTCCTCTCTACAACTGTACAAAATGCAAACCCAGTTTCAACGGGCAAACCGAAATATCTACACAGAAACGATTTGCTTAGTGATTATTGATTGGGTGGCCGTATACAAACTGGCCTATCCTTGTAGTCGAGGGGCAGTGGGATAATGCCAAAAGCCGGGAAACGGAACTACGTCAGCTGCTCTGTTTCACTATGCTGCTGTCTGCAGTCCTTCACTGGTTAGTCTTGCATTCATCAGTCGGTCACGCTGGCTGGGACATCCGTCCGCTCGCCTGTCAGGCACACTACCTAGACACTCCAATGCAGCCGATGCAGTGACATGCACGGGCCACGATCATTGGCGCAAGTAAGGCACGTCCGTAAACAGAAAACAAAGATTGAAGGATGCTCACCGCTATCCTGATCACGTGGTTCGCCTGTTGGATAGCCAATTGGGATTGGGAGATTCTACTCGAAAATAAGATCGAAAAATTGCTAAGCATTTGGACAAATTTCGGTGAACACTACCAGATTTGGATTATTGTGGAGGTTTGGTTTGAAGATTCCAAAAGGGATGTCGGACTATTATGAGGGTAAGTGGATGAAAACATTCGACTTGGGATGGGAAAAGCCATTAAGTTCGACTATGTGTGTTTACACAAATCATTCACCGGAGTTTGTCTGCATATCACGAAGGGATTTGCTTCGATTTAAATTTCCATGTGATTTTTACCTAGCACACAAGGCGGAATTGGACAGTCAAAACAACATGAGTCATTGCTATGATGAATAGTGTGTAGGAGAGTAGCTAAATGACCCAAACGATGGTTGGAATCCGAAGAAATGTTCACATTTTCACCCATTACGTTTTACAGAGACGGCTGTTCAACACGATCGAGGCCCGCGTCTTTCTTCTATTTAAACGAAATAAAAACCTTAAGGTCTCGAATGGGAGGCAGAAATCATGAAAGGCATATTGAAGTTTGTTCTGGGGCTGCTGGTAATCCGATTCTAAACGTGCAATGTCACTCCTGCTTTCATGGAGTTGAAGTGTTTTGTGGTTGCGTTCTCAAGCTCATATCAAAATCATAGGTTAAAGAACACTAATTTTAAGCATGTATATTTCAGGGATTCTCCATGCTTCCCTAATTTGTCATCAATCTTATACCTTTATGAGTGTCGGTCTTCCGTCCGGTTATGGAACGTCTATAAAAAACTGTGTCGCCTCGATAAGAAGCTGACCACTGAAAGCAGAGATGAAAGTTAGAAATAGAGTTGACGAAATAGGCTTTATCTTTAGTTCTGTTTGGAAAACACTTGGTGTGTAGTTTGATTGGAAATATTCCAACTACTGTTAGTTATATTCCATCTATACTGTGAATAAATATTCAAACTGTAGTAGTTTGGGCAGTTCACAGTCGGCTTCCATTATGTAGTGCCCAGTTTGTATAGACTACGATTGAGGTTTTGTTTCCGACAGACACGCCTGAACAAGGTTGCAAACCCCTGATTTGACAGTACGGGGATACTCCACACTGTCAATTTGTTGGCTAAACCTAGTTCCTTCAAAAGATTGCACTCACCCTCCTTGACCAACCCGCCATCCACCTTGTGGATAGTAGGTCTGAAAGGTTCAACGTAATGGTTGCAGGTGCGCGCGGCTTTCTGTGTAATCAAAGCGCTACCTTGATATACCTTGTTTTCAGTCTAATCCTGGGATATGAGCAGCCAAAATCATCTAGTCTTCGGATATCCTCGTATGGTAGGCACGACAATTCAACCAACACAGAGATAGCAGCTTGGTAAGCCGAGGTCTGCTTATCAGGCTGACCTCACCTCCACTCCATGATATCCTCTTCCATCGGAGGAAAGCCTTCTTAGCCCGTGGTTCAACCAGAATGAAAACGATAATCAATATCACCCGAGAGAGTGCACACGTTCGCAATCTTTATACCTTTGGAGTAATGTGTGCACTATTATCCAGGTAATATTTATGGGATCTTGACCACTAGTATGTACACTTTACGTCGGTAGGTGGATCCAAAATAAAGCACAATCGTGTTCTTTTACTCTTCCCAACCCGATTACAGTTAGCCTGATAACATATCAGCCTAGACCAGACGTACGTATGAATTATGAGGGATACAGAAAAATGAAGCTGACCCATCGTCTGCTCCAACTCATCAAAAAATCTGATTTTGTTGCACATATTCCTTACTGCAGTTTTCGTAACGATGATATTTCGTGGGAAATCTTGTAGAACGATAGGAAACTGAAATCAAGAAGCAGTTACAGATGGTGGACGGAAAAAACAAATACCAAATTGAATGGAGTGCATCAGGTCACAACAAAGTGAATGGACATTTCCCCACCAAAAGCAGAAAGGCTTGTTCACTCCGTTATCAATATGCTTAGTGTCCTGAAGTCAATTGAGAAACTTCCCCACAAGGCGTGCCTCCTCGTAGACCCTTGAACGAGTTTAAGTCCGATTCACATTCAAAGAACATTATTCGGCATAAAGGCTGAGATGCGTGCATATCTTCACATCGGGATAACTTGCAGAAAAACTCAGCACGCGTTTTGCGACACTAGTTTGCTATCTGATTCCACTTTATCTTTGCTGCATTCCTTCGGTTATCGCCTTGTTGTTGTTAGACATTCTTTATTCCGGATCCTGGATTATTTTCAAAATATGGTAACCCATCATTTGAATCAAAGATTGCTAGTCATCAATGACATATATCATGATGAAAGATTTCCTGACGAATATGATTGGGCAATACCTTCAATATTTGTGTTAGGCAGGAATCCACGCGGATCCTACTATACCGCACGTCTTTAAGCGCTGCTACGGCCGAGAAGCCTGGCCCGCTCGAGGTTGGCCCAAAATTCGGGACGCTTGCCGGTCCGGCATCAAGACGAGATCTGATTGGTCAACAATCTGGACCCAACAGCCAATCA